GGGTTATTTACTTTGGCCTTTTTGGAAACACAGGAAGGAGCAATCAGCTAAGTGAGCTTAGTGCTTGGAAAAAAAATCTTTCATTCCTTTAGAGACAGCATGAAAAGTCGCTGAGTACAAAACATAGAGAGGAAAACAAGAAGAAAAGGGACAAGAAGAGAGGGACAAAGTGTAGAACACATAATGGATGTCTATTCTATTCAAAATTCTCTATCTGTATAATGTGTCTGTTTTACGTGTTGTCTTCTGTATTCAGAGGGCCCCCTGCCTGTCTTTGCCCAGGGCCCAAATTTTCCTAAATCAACCCCTGATCAAATGCAGAGCTGAATTTCTCCAGTGTGAGATTAATAAAGTTGAATTATTATTACAGATTGTTCTCTACTGGAACTCTAGCTGGGGTACTTTACTTTATTGATTGATTTATTTCTAAGAACTTCCTGTGGTTCTTAAGCATATCATAGATGGGCAACTCTCCTATAGTTTCTAGAACCTCACCAACCTCAAAAATGCACTAAAAGCTCAGTTTGTATTTCCCGTAGATGTGATAACCGGTATAGCAGCTTTATTTGGCAGAGCTAAGCTTCTCTTGAATCCATACAGATGGAGAAAACTTCCGCTGGCTTCTCAATAGAAAGACTTTAAGCTTTTAAGAGTGCAGTGAAGCGCAGTCTCTGTTTACTGCAGCTTTGTGTTGAAAGATGTTTTCTCTGGAGCTAATCTGCCTTTTAAACTGTTAAAACAAAATTGATCAAATACTTCTTTGCTTCAACCTACAACAAATTTATTTTAATTATCTTAATAAATAAAGCATGCTTTTTTGCTATTTTTAGGCTGTTTTTTATGGATCTTTTCTGGATTGTATGAACTTTGCTTTGCTCCTCAATTTCATCGCCTCCTCTTGGCGTCTGCTGCTTCGCAGGATTCGACCAGTCTGAAGGTGTCGTTGTCGTCTTGCACGCCCTCTGAGCTGATGGAGATGGCTGTGAAGAAGTGGCTCATCACCCACGCGCCTGAGGAGGAGGCCTGGAGGGGCCAGTATGTGCTCCGAGTCAGCCATTGCCTGGAGTTCCTCTGTGGAGACCATCCTCTGATTCAATACAAGGTCAATGGAGATTCACCTTTATTTACGTAACTATAGCTGCAGGCCAACTAACCTCTCAGGTCTGAATAACAGAGCAGGGACTGATTAGATGTGACTTATGTGATATATAGACAGTTCTATTTATATTATAAGAGTATTTAATGCTTTATTGTCAGGATTCATGTCCAGTCTTAAAATGTTTTAGCTTTTGTTGATTATTATAACAAACCTGTCAGTCAGGGTGTTGCTTGGTGGTTTTGAAGTTGTGAAAGCGGGGATGGAAGATGAAATAATCTTTAAACTGCTCATCTTTTAAGAGAGTAAAAAAAAACAATAATACTTTTGCTTTTTGGTTTAAATTATGTATTTTTGAAGCTAAAAAATATCTGAAAAAATCAGAGCAGCAGGAAAAACAGTTTATCTGTGTTTAAAGCAACACTGTAAGTTTTAAACCAGGCTTCTTTTGAGATTTAATAAATGATTTTTCTGGTTGATACGATGCTCCATTCAGGCTGTCCTAGCTACAGTACAGTGCCTCTAGCGCCCCTGGTGGCTAAGAGTGACAGTGTTGCTTCAATTCTAAAAAAAAATGAGATTACTGCAAAAAAAAATAGGTTGTTTAAATTCAGGATTTTTAGTTTATTCAGTCCTATTGGAATCAAGCATATGTGGCTGTTGCTACCCGATCCGTCCCGTAAGCACGATCCGTTCTGCTCATGCATCAACAGATATATATATCCAGGTTTGCATAAATGATGTAATTATGATTGTAAAATCGCTTATTTCGATCCTTAACTCACTAAAGAATGCTAGTACACGTCTTTAAAAAAAGCTTTCTGACTTCTCTTTCTGATTTGTCTGCATTTTAGTTGTTTCTTTCTTTAGATTACGCACCATATACCATAATGTTAACGCGAAAGGAAAACCTAAAACTCAAAAAGACTAGATTTATGTTTAAATCTAAATCCGAAAAAGTTAGCTCCCGGAAGTAGCGCAGGAACCCATTTCCAGTGCAGATCGGGCACAGACTGATAAAACAAATGATTTTAAGGCATTTATTTTCTCAGGAAATACATTAATAACCTTTAAGACATATTTTACAGGGTTTCTGGGGGTCATTAAAAATCATAACAAGTCATTAAACCGCTATTTTTTTTTAAATTAATGCCTTAATTGGCATTAAAAGTTATTAAATGTGATTATCGCTTTTATCTTTTATTTAAAAAAAAGAAAGAAATACATTTATAAGAACAATTTCACCAGATATATTAAATATAACAGGTTCTTTGTGTTTGCGCGGAATTGCTTCAAGGTTGATCGTAAAGCCGTGTGTTCGGAAAAGAAGCTTGAGGCAGAGAAACATCTAGAGAAATGGGAAAATGCACATTTCAAAAAACAAAAGTGGCTGGAAAACAAGGAATTCAGGACGATAAAGTAACAAAGGATTATGCCGTGTTTT